ACTCGCGTTTCTGCACCTCGGCCACGTTGTGCCCGCGGAGGTGCGATGGCCCCATGCACTGCGTGTAGAGCCCRACGCGCGGCCGCTGCCGCAGCCAGTCCGACAGCCAGGCCAGGTGGCAGTCGCAGTACAGGTTRTTGGAGTGAAGGCGACTGCAGGGAACGAAACAGGGCAATACCTTCACATTTGGAAGAACAAACAGAAAAGCAGCCGGTTTGCCCAGCCCTCCCGTGAGCAAGTATGCCAATTTATTAATAAAACTGTTTAATGACAAATTTTTTTAGACCTTTTGTTGAATGTCTGGGAGTTACAACTTAAATAAAACTATGGAAGCAGCAAAACTACTTTTTATTTCTGGTCTAATTAACTGGAAGAAAAAAGAAKGCTTCCGAATAAATTAACTTTTCTGTAGTTTCCTGTTACTTGTCTAAAAGAAAACAGTAAATATACAAAAGCTTAAAAGCTGACACGGGACTCTTCATTCCATATCTGGATCTTATTCCAGCAAATAAGACAAAAATGTCTCAAGAAAATTGCCCTACAGTAATAATATAATGTCAGAAAAAAAGGGTTAGTAAAAAAAAATTGGTTTCCAATTAGATATATCTGTAAGTCTGGCCATTATTAGTCTCTATAGAAACAGCCTGAAAGATCCCTTTAACAGGTCATACTCATTTTCTGCTGAACAAGATAGAGTAGTAACTCAATATAAAGCACCTTCTTTCACATCTCTTTTCTGATTTCCTCTCTTTTTCTTTTTTAATAGCAGAAAGTGGGATTATCTACTTTTGGCTACTAGGGATATACTTTCTAAGTAATGCCTAAAATTAAAAGACCAAATGGAAGTAAGTGATAGAATTTAAAAAGTTGTCTCTCTGTTGGTGTGGTCTGACACAAGACCATAAAACTTCTTGCCAAGAGGCAAAAAGCACTTTGCCATTGATAAAATATCAGACAAATGTATTCAGTACACTGGGTAAATTATTTTTCTCTAGCTCTTCCATTTCCTAAACTACTGGAAAGGACATCCACAGCTATAAATCAAATCGTTACTCAGAATCATCTGTAACAGGGAAAGGCCATTTTAGTCCTTTTTAGCTGATGTGCTCAATCCTAACTAAATAACTGGAATGGAAGTGCAGGAAATTCAGAATGTAGACAGAGACTCTAATTAACCCATTAAAAAATAAAGCAGCAAAGCAACATGAAATATGTAACCAACGTAAACAAGAATATTAACGAACAACTTTTTCCCCTCATAAATGATTAGAAATTAAAGGCAATATATTTTCCTGTACTAATTCTTGGGTGGGTGCTTTGCAAATGCACCTCACAACATAGCACCCTCATTCAGTGCAATCTGTGGCCAGCTGCAGGCAAGAACACCACTGCAAATCAGAACTAACGCCACTGAAATCAATACAGTTCTACAAGCACATTCTGACTGCAAATGGGATGTTACARCTGTAATCCAGGACTCTGAAGGTCCAGTTTATTTTGTTTCCAAAATATTTTTTCAGAAGAGGAAATATCCTAACTAAAGAAAACGTAAATATTGGTAATTTGTTTGAYTCTTATTTTACGGTTCAAAATAGATTCTGTATTTGAAAGTTTGAACAAAGTACAGAATGCACATTTTCAAGACTCAGACCTGAAAGAACAGAWTGAAATCCTATTATCAAAATCTAGCTGTGGTCACCAAAAGCCCATGGTCAGCACTATTTAAGCAGTCTCACATTTGTTCACGCAAGAATAGTTGCAATTCTGTTATGAAATCAACAGAACTACTCACGTGTGTGAAGTTTCTTCAGGTACAGGCAGTGTGTTAACCCAGGTGAATAGTCCTGATTTTGGAACAGTTGTGCAACCCAACATGGGTAAAAGAAACTGGACAGGATTTTTGCAAAAAATAGTTCTTTAACACTAACAGCCACTCTTGAGCTCTGATAGAAACATCCCATCTAATTTCCACTTCACTGGAAAATCTGTTTGAAAGTGAGTTTCTGGACCAAACCTGGTTTGGCTGCTCAATACAATACAGATTTATTTGTAGTCATATAAATATGCCAAAACATAATTCCAGCCCATATGACTTGCATACACACTCTTTTCACTGTACTTTGTTTTAGAAGCCTGAAGTGTTCCTCTGTGAAAGTCATAACCTCTAAAAATGGGGACCTTATTGTAAATGCTGACACAACTTTAATTATAATAGCACTACCGGATGATGCTATAATTTTATGTTACAAAGAATGTTGGCAAGCCAGTTTAGTTTAATTAGGTCTGCTAGCCGAGCAGTAATAAAAGCATAAAGATTTCCCATTTATCACATCTGACAGTCAATCAAAGAATCTCCAATGTTCCTAAATGAAATGTGACCCATTCAATAGCTCAAAGTAAACCAAGTTTTTGACTTTCAAAAAACATCAATTTATTTCTCTATATAGCTGTGACATGTAAAAAGAATTCCCCCTGGTTGTTTTTTTGGTTAGAAGGTGAAGCTTTCTGTGACTGAATACAGAACTATGGAAATCCCATTTGGGAAGAGGCCATGAAACCATTTTAATAGTCATTCATCTCATATCCTAAAAAAAGTTCATGGAAAAGGATAAAACTAATTCTTTATCTCCTGAGCCCCAACTATAGTTTTGGGGTCACTTGTTAGGATTACCTTTTAGAATTAGCTTCCATAGATGCACACACAGACTTCATGCTCGTCAATCTCACGAGACATGAATATTTTTTTATTTGAGCTTGTGCTTGCTTTGCTTGCATATGTATTTATAGATCCCTGACAAAGCTTAATAGAGGCAAAAATAATATATTGGACTGATAAAAATGGCAGCCAGTTTCAGTGGGACTACTCACAATGTTCTGAGTTTGGGCATATGGTTGAAACTTGCCACAGACAGCCGAGTGATGTTGTTATTGTTGAGAGTGCTGCGAAGGCAAGAAGAAGCACATTAACATGTTAGAGCTTTTTGACATTTAAAATAGGCACAGCTAATGAAAGTCATGGTGTACTGTTTTTAGGGATGGGTATCAGGAAAAAGACCCCATGCTTTTAGTTCCATTTTTCCTCCCTGTTGAATCCCGACCAAAATACTATTTTACCATTAACAATCCTAAGAGGTCCCAGTAGCCCATGATTCACGCCAAAGGAAGTTCCACTAATATTGATAACATCTGTGACATTCAAGCCAAACTTGACATCCTGAGATAAAGAATAGARTCCTTGGAGATAATGTCTTGGTTCTAGGATGCTTATTTCTCTTTCTAGATTCTGAGAGTCTGGTTTTTGAAAGGTTATACAAGATCTGACTGTTTTTTTTCCAATAATTTTAGGAAAAGATTAACTCTGGGCTGCAGCTAGGTTTTATAAGGAGTGAGTTGCTATAGATGATCCAGATCTGCATGAGCAATAGGAGAGTTTCCAATATGATGGAAGGAGTCAGGAMTTATAATACTTTAGAAAACTAATAATTTTAATGTCGGACAAGGTGTTGGGAACTTGAGATAGAACTAGAAACAAATCTTAGCCAATTCTTTGCTACACAGGCTCATTAAACTCAGAAAGTRAAGTTTGTAAAATTCAGAAACTTTATGAAAAATGTTGTCTTTAGGCCACAAGTAAAATGCAAACAAGCTTGACTCCAGAAAAAGGAAGCAAGCAACAGAATTTACAGTTTTGACTTAGAGATTACTCATTTGAGCAGAATGGAGATTGAGCTCTAAAACCCACTGAAAAAAGTTTGGAAACAGAAAGTATTTTCCTTTCTCCTTTCATCTTTTTAAATCACAAACTGTAATTTGTGCCTCTTTGGAACCAATTTATAAGTACTTTCTGATCTTGAAACACAGAAAGGTAAATGCACAGCACCCAGAGCATGGTCAGGCTATATATCTCCACATTATGCATGCAATGAATTACTGGTGCAATGTGCTGCATTTTACCTTTGTGTGCTTACTCATTCCATGTACTAAACCTTTGCTTCTCTGTGCATAAGAGATCTCCCCTGTGTGATCTTAGGAATACATAACCAAAGAGGAGAATAATAAAAAATAAAACAAAATAAAATAAAATAAAAATAATAAAAYAAAGTAAKTAAATAGAAGAATTGTGCCCTTTTTCAAGATATAACAACAATTAAACAACAGTAAATGGCCAACTGGATACATCCACAAAAGGTGTCTTAATGAATAGATGTCAGTAAATTGTGGCAGAGTTTTCTYACAATGTCCACATGGTAAATGATGGCTCCCACAGTTCTTCCTACATAACTGAAAAGATTTTAAAATCACATCTTTTCAATGAAGGGAAAGGAAATCAATCCATATTTCCATAGCTGTTAAGAGAAGGCGAACCTACCATTTTAATTTCCAACTGTTTGATGTTTGCCTTGATATTCTGTATATATGTGCTATTAATTTATTCTTCCAAGGGTAAAGAAAATTAGATATAGGAATAGATATAAGGGATACATCAGAAATTAAATAATTTTTGTAGCTATTTCTGTGTAATGTTAAAAATGTTTGATTTCATTATGGAGACGCAATTAGAGAAAAGTTGGCTCAATACTTTTACCTAAGTGTTACATACTATAGAAATTATTGTTACGACTGGACTGACATTTTTTTCTATTTTTTTGTAGACACTTTTTTTTTTAATGCCAGCACTATATTTTTTTCCCATAGTCTGTTTCCCAAATACAACAGATTTCCCATTAAAAAAAAGACAAAGGAAAACTAAAATTTCACAGAAATTCAGAGAGAGGTATTTTCAGGCTATACTGTATCTTTAAAACTAACAACAGCCTCTATTAYTTAACCAAGATATAAGACCTGTTACTTTGGTAAGCATTTCAAACWGTCACTAAACAGGATCTATTTAAAAGCTTTACCTTATACCTGAAGTTTGAAGTAATATACACTTTCTGTGCTTAGAATAATTGACTCCAAATGAAAACAATATGCATAGTCTTATCTGCTACTCAGTGCAAACACAGTATGGTCTGATCTACTCATCTTTCATTCTTTAAGCCATATTGTAAATAAAGCTTAATTATATACAAAGTCTTCAGTACAGTTTGAAATATCCATCTCAATTTCTTAAAAAGCCATGAATCTTTACATAATTTTAAAAACATAACATGATTCAAGATAGCAAACATTTAGTTGTATATTTGAACAATGCTAATAGACAATGTATATTCACTCACAAGAATTCTAACTACTGCTTTTCAGCAGACTATTATTATAGAGGTTTCTTCCCTCTTTTTTCCMCTCATTGAAATAAATGTAAAAATTTTACCCCTGACCTCAACTGCAAGGATGACCTTTTAAGAACACTAAAATTGCAAGCATTAAAAAGTGCAGAAAACATTTGATTTCTTTTCTTTTTAAACAAATTTTTTACTTGTAAAAAACCCACACTTGTAAAGAAGGGCTTGTATCAAAAAAAAACCAAAAATAACAAAAAACAAACCAGCAAACAATAAAAAAAAAACCAAAACCAAACCACAACAAGCAGATTAAGCCATCATTGCAAAAAATATTCTATCTCACATGAGTTCCAAATATAAAAATCTCAGAGAACATCACGTTTACTGACAGAAAAGTTATCATCATTTTAACACTCAAATGCAGTATTGAACCTACAGTGTATATTACATGGCTTTACACCAGAGAGTTAACGATAGGCTTGTTATTCTATGACTGCAAAGTAAAGAAAAAAATCAAATTTGGCAGTTTCATTCACTCATAAGTAAGACCAACTTAATAATAAAAACTTTACCAGCAGCTACTCAAATACTCTTTAGTTTCTTAGACACATACTCACTATCTACTGCCAGAGAAGCTTCTGTACTGCAGAATATTTTTAAAACTAAAAAATCCAAACACAACAAAACCCATTTCCCACCCTCCTCAAGTTGTAATTTATCAGGTATGATTCAAATTAACATGAAGTAACTCTCTGATACACAAATTCTTTCACTTCTCTAATGAAGRAAATCCAGCAAAAAATGTCATTTTGACTGACATAGCAAGTATTTCAGGAATGTGTCCTGTGCCTCAGATTCTTTCAGAACTAACACACTTTGCTCATTACAGTAACTATTCTTAGATGATAATTTTGTTACCTTTAACCTGACTGATAGCCACTTAAAGAAAGTGAAAAAAAAGTGTGCAAAGAAGTGTTGCAATAATAATCATCTGTGACACAAAAAAGGTATTTTGCTATATGTACATGTGGTATTTATGCACATAAAAAACTTMAAATGTTTTAAAAGGGAATTATTAACATGGACATGCTAAATATCTTAATATATTAGCAGTAGTGTTTGACAAATAGTGCCTCTTTGAAAACACCCGGATTGTCAAATATATATAGCATATTGTTCCTTACACAGAGTCTGAAAGATCAGATTGATGTTGACTATACAACAAAAGCAATCCTGAAAACGTTCAGCACATCAACAGTAATGGATAATTTACAAAATTAATTAGGTTCACTATTACTGCTTCCCTCCCCCTTTTTAAAATGAAATACATTCTTTTTTACAGTATCTGCCAATGGCTTTTTTATTATAATTACATTAAATGGCTGTCTTGGAGAGTAAAGGAGTATCTCTGCCTCTCCATATCTTCTTACCATTTTACAGCACATCGCAGTGGATTATTTTAAGACATCTTTTCACTAGACCATCCTGACACCGGGCTGCAGCTTACAGATAAGCTTCTGCATTAGCACTCCCCAGACACCGAGCTCTTGCTACAAGTAAGAGATACAAGCAATACTTACAGCACTTCCAGGTCACGCAGAGCCCTAAATGCCCCATCTTCAATACAGCTGATCTGGTTGTAATCCAGTTGCCTGTTAAACAGATTAGGAAGGCATTTGTGAGGGAGAGGCGAGGCGAGGTGCAAGGGAAGCCTCCCCAAGGGATGGCAGAGGCAGGCCAGGCTCAGGGGAAGGYTCTGGCCATCCCTGCCGCCCGCTCAGGGCTGTCGCACGGCGCTGGCCTGCACGCTGCCACAGAAATCCCTTTTTGTTCTCAACTGTCTGCGCAAAACAGCAGCGCTGGGAAAGCTCCAGTAAATAATAACTGCACCTTATATTAAATGCCAAAGGAATGCAATTTCATTACATCAAGAAAAGCTATCCATTAAAAGCTCTCAGCGTCATCTTGCTGAAACAATTTCATTAAGGTAAAGGACGGTAAATCACTTAATGTCACACGCATCCCCTCGGTGACCTAACAGAATCCATTTATCAGAGCAGCCCAGCTGCATGTTAATTCCASCCGCCACGGCAGGGACCGGGCACAGACACCACTTTTAGGGGTCTCCCTGCATGTGTGCATGCCTGCAGCGGCTGGGAGGTGTTACCCCCGGGCATACGGGCGATTTAGAGTAATTACCTCTTGGAATATGTCTACACGTAGAATTAACAGTGTCCGAGGCATTTACAGGCTTGTTTACTTATCTCCTTTAATTCTACTCCAAATGAAAGTAGTGTTTCTGCTGTAACCTTCAGTATCTGATTTTCTACCTTCTGTCTGCAATTATATGCAGATAGTATGTTGYAATGGAGCACTTGAATTCTAGATGTAAAACTCAGCAATCCATCCCATACATTATTAATACTTAAGTATTAAGTTATGAAAAATTTAGATTCGTTTCTCTGAATAATATTATTACATTTTCAATTCAAAACATTGATACAGTACATACAGCCCAATTAAAAAATTCTGCTTAAATTAATAACCATGCAAATATAAAATCACACTACTGATAAAASCTTTCCCTATAAATACTGAAATGTCTTATGCATTTCAGAAGATGACTTGCAAAGCAAAGATTATAAAACCTCACTTTAAAAAACTTCTCCAAGCTGGTATCTYGTCAGTGTCAAATAATATATACGAGTAAATGTGTGTGAACAATACTAAGAAAATGAACAAAATACAAATGAACTCTGCCCTTCTGTCTTCAATTATATATTAGCTAGCAGGGCTAATGACACTTTTACTAAAGCATTTTCAGTGATTCTTCTGAATCTATGATAACATTTTACTTTATTAATAAATCAACACATCCACTGCTGAATGSAATGTACCAACTTCTATAAAGTTCTTCTAGTTTCATCTGAATTACTACTACAAGAGAATAAAATACTGTCATAATTGTAACAGTGCCTGTGTTTTCTGTGTACTGAAAGCTAAATGCAAACTATCAGTTGCTGAATATGATCTTTAATCATTTTGGTGCAATGTTACAACACCAGTGCTGCAGTGTTGGAATATTTAACTCTATTTTCTAAGGCTTCTTCAATTTTTACTAATGAATTTCATTTAACAATTAAGCTAATAGCCTTTTTTATTTTAAAGAGGTAAAATATATACACAGTACAATTCTCTAACCTCTCGAACAATTTATCAAAGCTATTTAAATTACTAYGATGGCATGAAATGTTACCCTTGACACAATACAAAAGAGAAATTGTTTCCAGACAAATTGGAAAAATCTTTTAATGCCATCAAATTTGCCTAATGCAGTCTGCAGGTTAATCTGTGAGAGGGTGAGCTGTATGTTTGGCCATATCTTATTATCCTTAGCTGTCAATGCATAAATCAGTGCTGACACAGCTTCTTCTAAATCATCCATATTATACACAAAGGAAAATCTTTTAAAGAGAGAAAGCACTTGAACAAATCTTGTCCTACACAAACTGAAAGGCAGATTTCTTTCACTAGACTGGCAGCAGYTGGTGATCCTGAAAACTTCTGGACTTCTTCTTCTAATGAATCACCATGATTACTGCCTTAGTGAAGGGTGAGTTGTTTCCATTTAAACCTTCTTACCAGAAAGATTACCCTGTTTGTACTGAACTAATGAATTGGTTTTAGTTTGAGGAAGGGAAGTTTGCAGATGGAAGAGGAGAAATATTCCCTAGTTTTAAAAGTTGCTGTGTTTTAAAGATGCTACCATCTTCATGGTTTAGATTATCTTCCATCAGTTACAACCCCAATATAACATGTTTTGACACATATCATGAGGAACAATTGGCARGATATTTATATCTATACATATTTATTTTTTAAGCTATGAAACGGACATGACTTTGAAGACTGTTTGACTGGCTTGAATAGCAATTTATTGTAAAAGTAAAGGTTAAGGGTAAGGACACCTACACTGAATATATGCGCCAAACAGAAAGTCAGACAGTATTTCACAATCTGCAAAATATTAACTCATTATATCCTTCTAACAGATATACTGAAGCAGTCTGATTTTTTTTTTAATAACAGTGCTTCTGGATAGCGGGTATGTATTAAGCTACATCTTAAGGCACAAGCAAAAATATCAGAAATTAAAATTATATATTTATATAATTTTATATTATGTTTTATAGTTAATTTAAGCATGACTTTCAAAATCACACATAAAAATTTCCAATACCATAATAAAACCTTTCTCACCATTAAAGTATTGAGTAAATAAATAACCCTAATTCCATTTTAGAAAGCTGTTTTTCCCCTAAGAGCTGCTTTTCTTCTTTTCAAATTATTAGAACATTCTGAGAACCAAAGCCGACCCGACATGGACCAGCAACTCTGTTTTTTCCATCCTTCTCCTCTTCCCAGCTTCTTTTCATCATTTTCCTGCCTGCTCCATCTCCACTTTGGGTCTTTTCTACATGGACCCGTCCATGCTTTTGTAAAGCTKCTGGTCCTTTCTGCCTCCAACATTCATAAAGTTTCAGCAGTGCCATTCCCATGAAGCTCATACKATACCAAACAGTTGTCACATTCAAAATCTTTCCATCATCACAGAGAATTAATCAGATCTTGCACCGGTTTCTGCAGCATTACCTGGATATTTCATATACTTACTGTTCTTCTGCTACTTAAAATGTCAATGTTTATGTGAATTCAGCAATAAGAACCAGTAAGAATAATAAGTATTCAACTTAATAAAATRTCTGCTTTAAAAGGTTTTATATTTATTGCTCTTGCGGATACATCTTATGCTGTAGAAACATTTTGCTAACTTRTATTTTCTTCCCTTTTGGCATATGTTGTCTACCAGATAATGATAAATAAATATCATAAAATAAACTTTGTTATCCCACCAGAAGATTTAAYGACTAACAGAAGATGTTCCATACATTTAGAAACTACTACCCTCATACAGGAAAAATCTGTCATCTGTCTCTTGAGAGAGAAAACCTTTACTCATTCCTAGAGAGTAAAAGGTTGGAACAATTCAAACAATTGTCTGCTTTACTCTCCTGTTCTTTACAGTTTGAGGACACTTTGTGGTCCTGTGCTAGAGAGCTACTTTTTACAACAGAATTATGATCCTTATTTCTTACATCTAAATTTCAGTTTCAAGACAAATCCATAATTTCAGAGGAATTAGTTAAAAATTTTGTAACTAAAACAATGCCATAATTTATTCTGTTTTTATCAAACTTCAAAGAACTGCTTGCTTCTCATGACTCTAAATATTTACATCCAAGTAAGACATACTTGCTGAACAAACTAGAAGAGAGAACAGATCTATAATTCAATCGCTCAATTCCCTAAAAATTGTCTAGCACTCTACTTGGTTAATCCCTTAATTATCTTATAGGAGGAAAACAGCATTAAAAAAAGTAAAAATTAAACAGAATGTCAGTAAAAGGAGAATGTACACAAAATGAACAATGTACATGTTATGTGATTCAAAGATACTATCATATTAATAAGAAGCATTTTTTTAAAAAGAMAACAAAACTTTAARGATAGTATTGAAATGTTATCTATTTAACAGTCAGAAAGTCAGAAAAATCTCCCAAAGGCCACAGGGTCACCAACCTGCTTGGCAACAGGASGTTTAGGAGGCACTAGAAAAATGTATATATTCCTTCCTTCATGGCCTCAGAGCTATGTTTTATTGTAATAAAAATCTTAAGCATACACAGAATATATTTCACTCACACCCTGTGAAATTCCTTCTTGATGTAAACTTGAAATGCAGGTGGCTGAACAGACCAGCAGCCCAATYGAGATTCTCAGTAGAGCAAGCATGAGAAATAGTGAATTCTAGATTATTTAAGCATATCTTGGACAAGCAATGCATTTGGAACAGCACCTGTACAGATAAATAGACAAATACACTTCTAGTCGCAGTGGAATTTTATGAATGAACTGAGAAGAAATAAATAATTAGAACATCTTCAGCAGGACTCTCTTTTTCAACTGCTAATAATGATTTTTTTTTAAAAGTGCAATCATTCCCAAAAAATATTAATACAAAATTCATTTATGTCTTTAGTGGCTGTTTTACACCTTTCACAATCAGCACAGAAGAGGCATTAAGGCAACACCAAGTAATATCCATCAAGGTTTGGACAGAGGTTAGTGTGATGGGAAGGACTGCGATTGGATGCTCGTGACTGTCTTCCTCTTCACTAATTCTTCATTTTTCCGGGCAATTTAATCAGTGAAGCTCCTACATTTCCCTGCAGCCCTTATCCCTGGCATGACAGCTACAGTCTCCCTGGGCTGCTGGGAAAAAAATGGAACCAAATGGACACAAAGAAGAGAGCAGTCGAAGGAAAGGCCAAGAACATGACAAGAAAAGCAGGGCACAAGACCCTTGCATGAGATACAATGAAAATGTACCCTGCTCTTTTTGGTAACATTTGAGGTTGCATATATTCAACATTAGAATTCTACCATGATATTGGTATATTCCTTTCCATCCTCTGCCAAGAATTGATTACACAGAGAAAGAGAAAATTGAATCTTGTAAAATTTTACACACTTGAAATAGAAAAGTCACAATGCCAAAATCTACTCAAAAAGAGAGCACAGCACTATTGTTCTTTCAGTGGAGCTCTGATTTGTAACTCAGTTATTTTTYCTTTTAATTTCACCAGATTCAAAAAACAACTCCATCCAAGCTTACAATCTGGGCACCTAAAGCATTTTTTTTGCCACCTTAAATACAAAAAATACCCTTTAAAAATGAAAAAACCTTACTGGGAAGATTTAAAACATCTGTCATATCTGGTGTGAGTACCATATCACCATGGAGGGTTTTGAAACCTTCATTAACATGCATATTAAAAAATCAGTGTTTAGTTTCCCATTTATATGATAATTTCTGTTAATTTTTTTTTTTTTAAAAAGTGGGTGCCATTGTGTTCTCTGAAGAATCTAATGTCTTGGTTAATGTTTTTCTTCCAGAAAACTTAGCAAGTTAGAGCTAACTTTCAGAATTTTATTTCCAGAATTTCACCCTAATTTCTCTCAAGTCCCAGATCAGCAGCTGTACTTAGTGTGTGTTACTCTTTAAGTCATTCAAGAATAATTCCTCAAATAGAAAAATAAATACTTTGACACACAGCAGCTTTTTCCCCTCCCTACATCTGAACTGCCAAAAAATGGATATTGGGTTTCTAGTCTGGAGAACTACTACAATATAACCTTCCCTCTACTACTACTTCCCATAACCTTTTTGTCACTTTTACTGGAACTTAATATTTTACAAACATCTGGGCTACACTGGTGAGARTGAAGCCAAGGACACTCTGTGTGGCATTTGTGAGGTGACTTCTGAGTTTGTGAGATGGCACCTGGTGTAAACCTCCCTGGCAGGAGACAGAGTCCCAACAGGGCCACCAAGATGAGAGGGCTGAAGCAGGTGACATTTGGGGATGGTCTGCAAGAACTGCATTTGTTTGGCCTTAAGAGAGAGGGGGAAGAGGGACCTTATTGCTGCCTACAACTGCCTCGAGTGAGAGTACAGACAGAGCCAGCTCATCTCAGTTCTAAGATGAAAGGCACAACAAATTGGAGATGGTAATTCCAATCACATTGGTGAGGCCTGAAGGCTTCTCAGGTTTTGTTATTCTTTGTACTACGAGGGTGTAGCAGGTTGACCATAATGTTAATTGTCATAAAGTCTTGCCCATTTTGCTTTCATCTTCTACAGAATCTATACTGTGAGTATTATTAAGATATCCAGAAAGAAAACATCATGGGTGCATTTTATGGAAATTCAACAGCTTCTCATGAGAAACATCAGGAGGACTCCAGAGCTCACATACTCACAGGAGGTCACAGGGGTATCATCAACCTTAAAGGAAGCAGCCTCCTTCAGATTATCTGAGTTAACACCTAATTCCCTTTGCTCTGCAAAGACTAAGTGTACAATAAGATGTTTTCCAAAATATTCCAGCTCTGGATTAASAAGGAAAGTATTTGGTGGAAATGAGAGAATAGTGAATCTCCATTCAGGAATATAAAATACTTTGTCAGGTCAAGTTCAGTGAAATTTGTTAACCACTTTTAAAACAGCTTAATAGARCTACTGTTCTGGATGCTTATCAATCATTCCATGTTAAAAAAAGAGGCTCAGTAATTTAAACTAAAACTGATGTAATTACTGTTGCAACAGGTTGTTTTGTTTTTTTTTTTTAATTATTACAATATGTTTTAATACATATTTCTTTTCTCTTTCTATCTTCACCTATCTCATAGATGAGTTTGGAAGCGATGAAACACCTTCAACGTTTTGCTCAATTACTGGGCTGTGGCTAGAACAAATGGCCAAAACTAAAATGAATATGGAATTCTTTTTATGACAATTCTCAGTAAGAATATACAGGTATTTGGTTCCTGGACCTTAGGTGAATCACCTTCATAGAGTCATAGAATCATTTAGGTTGGAAAAGACCTGTAAGATCATGGAGTTCAATCACAAACCTGACATTGCCAAGTCCAGTATGTCCACTATTAGTTATGTGTCTCCGTGCCACAKCTACACGTTTTCTAAATACCTCCAGTTATGGTCACTCAATCTCTTCCCCAGGCCACCTGYTCCAAAGCTTGAAAAAATTTTTGGTGAAGAAATTTTTTCTCATATCTGATCTAAACTTCCCCTGGTGTCACTCTAGGCCATTTCCTCTCATCCTCTCACATTTCACTTTGCATAAAGAGACTGACRCCCACCTGGCTACARCCTCTTTCCAGACAGTTCAATTCCATTGTTTGATGAGTGCTGCCTTCTCTCCTATCACTTATCAATTGTCTCCCTAATTTACTTGAACAATGAAATGGAACTTGTAAAATTCTTGCTATACGCTTCTTCTCTAAGTAATCTCCAATCCTTGCCAAAGATTCTGGAAAGGCACAACAGCCTGATCTAGTTACATAAATGCTGTGCTAGAATCCACTCAACTGACCCCAGGAACTTATTTGTCCTTCTGCAGAGGGATTGTAGAGGGATCATAAAGTTTCCAGATTAGGGGTTTCATGGCAGTTTTTTCCTTGGTCTGGTTTTTATTTT